CCGCCCAATTCGAGCGCGTGGCGAGATGTGCGCATAGCAATATCGATCGCCGGGCGGTCACATCTTGCCACGCGCTCGAATTGGGCGGTAGGCCGGCCTAAGACAACGATTTTTAATAATTAATTACTCGTTAACTATTACGAAAATTGCAAAATGGTACAGGACTTTTCCATTCATCTCGATCCGTTCTACCTTCTAAAAAATTTTGTCGGATATGGAAAGACTCACCCTGTATACGAATAGGCAACGTACCATTTATAATAACTGGACCTTTCAGCGTTTGCGTTTCATTTGGATTCAGGATGTCGTTTATAAAATGTCCATTTACAAATTGCGCCCCTAAAGAGTCGCATGTGACATTTCTAAATGTCTTGTGACCTGTGAACGTAATATTTCTCTCGTCTTTCTGAACAGTATCGGCAATAAATTCGGTCAAGTTCAAATTGTTTACGAAGCCAATTACTCGTAAATTTTCGATCGATACGTTTTTATTGAAAGTAACCGTCGCCATATCATCTTCTTTGTAAATGTCAATAATGTCATTGTCATTAATCGAAGACGCCGTTATCATCCCTGTCACTCGTAGAGATCTTATCGCTGCACTTCCGTGAAAAACGTCATCGTAAAGTGATTTTGCGTTTGTTAATGACAGATTCCACGTATTGAGAGGCACTCCATTGATCATTTCTACGTCCAAAGTATCAGTTTCCAAATTGTCAACTATTAAAGCGCCTGTCAGATTCTGCCGCGCATAGAGTGTTAACGCGCGTGTGGCCAAGTCACTGTAGTTGAGTCCGTTGATTGTGTTTGGCAAGACCTCATCGGTCAGTAACGTCGAGACTGTCAAATTCTCGAAATGCACTTGTCGCAAAGTTTTATTAATTTTATCAAGGAACGTGGCCTGCGAAATAGTTTGCCTAATGGTATCAAACGACAAATCATCAACAATGGACGATTTGATAAATAATAATATTTTATTTAGGCAACCAGAAGCGGTATCTTGCTCGTGGGTTATGTAATGCTCCAACTTGTTCATAGTGCCAAGAGTTACATTTTCGAATAAGACATTTGCCGACATCCTCGTCAAATCTGAAATGGATAAATTTACGTTGCTGAAATGAAATTACATTATAATACTTGGCTTACTTTTCATTTCTATTATTATGTAAGGAGAAAGCGAAAAATAATCTTTAAAAGTACTGTTTCTGTTTCCACGACAGATTAGTCATTGCTTTTCATAATATTATAGACAAAATATTTGATTTTTTTTACTTTGGTACTTAACATTCGAATGACGTTTAGAACCTTTTATAAGCTTTAATTACTATACTTACGAGGAAACTGTTGATTACTGTTTAATGTTACGAATTCTGAGAAAAGGTGATGATTAATTCGTCTAGATTGAATTTTTGCGCGAGCGTTTATGTTGACAGCGCTCCAGAATGTTTTATTTCCAATAATTAATGCATCGTTTTCGGTTTTTAATAAAAAATCGTCGAGATCCAACCACGTTTTGGCGTTGATTGAATTTTTGAGTACAATGTCTCCCACAACGGTCAGACTTTCAAAAATAATAGCTGACAAAAGACTGTCGGTTTCGTTAAGCAGACCTTCTGCGCTGCTTACGTTAGTACCCGTTACATTTCCATCGATCTGAAAGTTGAACAGAATAGTGTTCCATTTAATTGTAATATATATACACACGTTTAATGAATCGTACCTGAAAGGCTCCTTCAATTTCCAGATTTTCAAATGTAATTTCTGCGTCAATAACTTTATGTCTGCTGGGAATAATGAAATCGTCGATATTTATCTTGTTTATCGCCGCGATACCTAGCAAATGTTCTACAGACAGGTTGGTGAAGTGCTTTTCGCCAGTAATGTTGGTAGAAAATATCCCACCCGTTGAAACATAATTTTCTGGATATGACAAACCATTCAGAAATGACACGTAAGGTTCTTCAGCGACAAGCTGTTAAAGAAAATTTTCGTACATAAAACGTGAAATAAAAGTGACACATCTGGTGTATGTACGTGTAATGATTTTTCGTAAAGGGAGAAAAGGGTGATAGATATAAGCACTTTTTTAACACTGCATTAGGGACATCCCAATTTCATATGGAAGACCGTGCTTTCGGGAATCACGTAAACCATGCATGAATACGACGTTACTTATTTTCTTACGAGGGCAAAATTGTTTCGTTATCAAGATTGCGTGGGCGCTCTATACAATTCTGTGCTGTGTGATTATATTGCCTTACCCCTTCCACAATTGTCTCTCCAGAAATAATTGTTGATTCATCTTTCCAAACTATACCTTGCATCAGCTCTTCCCAAGTAATGTTATTTACTTTGGAAAAGCTCAGGTGTCCGTCAACCTTTAATCGCTTTAATTTCGACAAGTTTACGTCGCTGTAATTTCTCATTGTAAAATCAAACACTATTTCTCCCAGTGGTATGCCATTTAAAGAGAAAACTGTTAAGTTATCGGCGTCGATTGAGGGAAAAGATTTCTGGCCGTTAATAATGTCGCGATTGGCGATTTGAAGATCGCTCGCTACGGTGGAAGCTGACGCGTTGTTAATAAAGGCGGCGGTTAGATTTTTCACACGTAGAGTACCATTCACTAGAAAATCTCCAGTTAATTCAACAATGTCTGGTAAGAAGATTTTCGCCGAGTTAGTCACGTTTTTCAATTCCGGTAAGATTCGATCGAGCCGCGTCTCTAGTTCCTCTAATTTCTTTAAATTTGACGTCACGTTTATCGATACGTCTTTCATCTCCAAATTGACCGAACCGACTTTGATGGCGTCATAATTTACATGTCTTTCGATTGTGGCGTTTGATACGTTTACTTTCGCAAGATTCCAATATGCTGCTGTCACAGGACTCGCAAGGTAACTTTGATTAAACTGCACTTCAGTCTTATCAAAGATGGCTTCTTGTTTTCGAAACACCTCCTGAAAATTTATACCTTATTTTACAAAACTTTAGAAAAGCAATTCAAGCCGTACACAAAAAATTATATTTTACATATTCTATTATACTATATCTTAAATATTTATTTCAATGTGTGTCAATTATATAAATAAACGAAATATTGCGTGTACGATTACATTTATACATTTAAATACTTATATGAAAATCTTATTAGACACGTTGTACATTTTACCACATAGTCACAATATTATACACAAGAAAGGAATTATATGAGACGTGTAAAGTAAGTAAAGATACATACTTCCAATAAAGCTCGTGTCTTTAGTACACTTTCCGTTTCGTGGTGAATAGGATGCGCCGATTCGCTCAAGGACACTTGTATACGTACAAGCGTGTTCACATGCACGAATCCGATTTTAGGAATGACGACAATTTTTGACAGATTAAAGTTATTTAAGACCTGACTGGACAAAGGCACAACCTTAAACCTCGATCCGTGCCAAGCCAACGCGAGTACGGTTAAATTTTTTAACTCAACTAGCAGCAAGGACTCATCCCGATATGTATCCAGTGGTATTGCGACTATCCGTACGATTGTGGTTGTTTCTGTGGAATAAATGGTTGATTTTTCGTTTGCTCGGAAATGAGCAAATCTTATCGTCTTACCGTCGAAATGCAGACTCGTCTCAGCGTTATTTTGAAAGTCGTCTTCAAAAATGTGAAATAAATGCAGTTCTTCTCCGCCAATTGCCAAATATTTGATGTAACCGCTTTCGAAGCAGGCAAAATGTGTAAGTTTGTTGGACTTGATATCTTTTAATTTCTCAAACTGGCATGATTTATCTTGACTTTTCGATTCATACAGAACTACGCTGTCGACTCCTTGAAAAGCTAGCACGGGACGTCCATAAATTGGACAAACTTGAGTGTTGAACACTTTCGGAACAAATGATCGCCAACACAGCCTGCACGATATAAATATACGCCAAATATTATACTTGTGTTATTTACTTTTACAGACCGCTGGTATAAAACTTGACCTTACAACATACGTCTGAAATATCAGTATAGAAAATTGTAATTGAGAAAAGCGATTTTACTCCCTTTGAAGAGAAAGAACAGAGATGACCTTTTTCGAGGATATTTTTGGAAAATTTAGCACGTCAAGATTGCAAACATAAAAGTTAAAAAGTATTATCATACAATGTTATTCAATAATTTACTTATAATAGGGTGCTATATAGTGCTTCGTTTTAATTGTAAATTTTTTTGCATCTTACATGTATTTTCTCACGATCCTTGCAAAATTTGATTGCAAATCATAGAATGCGTTTATATGTATATTATTATACATTGAGTGAAACGAGCAACATGCATAATCGAATAAACGGAATTACCATATATGGATACGATGATTGCTATGGTCAACATCGAAACCGTAAATTTCAATCAGTGATTGTTCGAGATACGCATTGTGAAGTAACAATAATTCATGTTGAATTTTCCCTCGCACAAATTCCATATCTTGAATTTGCTTCTGCATTTGCCATTTAAAATACAGCATATGTGCATTTCCCGAAATTGCATACCAATACAGAAAACAATCGCGTTGGGATTTAACCAGCAGAAGTGCCATTAGATTGTTCGTACGATTTTCATTAAACGTTGCCTCGACATTCAAGTTGAGAACTTTAAACTGTAATATGTCTCCCTCAGTCGGTATACTTATAACATGTTCGACTGACAAATCGTCCCAGTTAATCTTGTAGAAAAACAATGTTGCATTTTCAGCACAAATAAAATAACTCGCTTCCATTTGCAGACATTGCCAACTGTTTTCTGATATATTAATCTTTTGAGTTATATTATCCAGCGAATGCAATGAAATATTTGTAACAACAACCTCTGAAAATAGAAACACCCTTTCAGATTATTCTAAATTATGATTAATTCGAGATTATTGAGAAACAGCCAAATGTGAAAAAGTCAATAGATATATTTGCATAATGAAACAGGACGTGCGATATTACGTTCTCTTATATCAAAGTGTCTTGCACATTATTACGAGTGTACAATAAAAATACACACGCAAAATGACCTGGAATTTTCCCGCTATTATAAAATTTAATTAAAGTAACCATTTCTTTTTCATTATACGAAATTTATAAAAATTACGCAGCATTTTTGTATTCATTAAATCAATATTAAATTAATTAAGTATTTGATAATAATTCACCTTCTCGATTTCCAGCACCAGTACCGAATTCATACTCTTGCCAAATTATCGATGTCTCTTCGTGATCTCGGGGTCTTCGAAATGATCTACTATTGCCAAGCATTTCGTCCAATGTCTTCGACATTTCGTTTAGATCCTGGCATTTTGCGTTATTTATGAAAATCCATAAAGTAAGGAAGCGTACGGCGAGATCTTTACTCGGTAACATTCTGACAAAGACTGAAACTTAACCGAAATTCACGGTGGCCTGTGAAATTCTCATGACCGCGGTGTCACGTAAATATTTGCGCATTATACACGACTCACAATGTTTTGATTTTCATTGAGCCGACGCTGACATCTAATTTAAATTTCTCCAAAATCAAGCTGAATGAAGACCGAGCTTTTGTTTCTAAATATTATCCGCTGGCCATACTCGCATTATTATCAGTAATATTGTTATAATTTTCGCAATATTTATTATATATTACGTACTTTACGCCTAGGTAACATCTACGTATAAGCACAAAATTTACATTTAATATTATCACTTTATCTTTCTTGAAATTATGTAACATATAGGAAATTAATGATATGAAATATAATTATAACAACCAATTTTTTGTTACAGTATGTAAGTAGTAATTCTAAGATGTAATAATTTATTATAAATGTATTTCAATATTATGCTAATTTTAATTAAAACATGACAATTTATATTTCACACTTTATAGACATGCGTGTATATCTTACACTTAATTTACTGCCTTCTTCTATTTCTAATAATTATATTTTTGCGCGTTAAATTGAAGAGAACAAGTATATACAGAGTATAATTTATGCTATAAATAATTGGTATCAGTAAAATTATTAAAGTGCGTTGTAGTGTGTAGTCGTTGTTAACAGAATTTGTAACAATTTTAAAAGTAAGATTATTTTCTTTAAAAGAGAAACAAATTCTTATTATATTCTTATATATATTCTGTGCGCAACGTAGATATAAGGTGACCATATTTTTCATAAATGTTTATTAAACTACACACATATGGTTACATTTACGCTATTCCTTTATTTACATTAATTTCGCATATTCGCCGTATTTGTTATTAAAGTTACAATATAAACAGCCTTTATACGCTGTACATCAATCGCATTTTCTCATTAACTAATTTCTCGGTAGAAATATTTTCACGTGTCTCGGATGTCTTTAAGTGGCATACACAGATTACTGTGCATTATAAATGATGCCATACTTTCCAATAATCGTACCATAACGTGTATTTGATAATCACGTTTGATTCGAACCAATTTCTTTTTTAGAAAATCGAATTAAACACAAAATTGTAAAAGGCGACGATATTATCAGTCGAGTATGTAATTTTTACGCTGTAATAATTTCAATAAAATCGAGAAGACCGTATATACACATAGATAATGTTATGTACGTAAGACGTTTTTCATTTGTAAGAATAATAAATATTAAAGTATGGTGATTAAATTAGCGTTCTATGAAAACAATTGTATTAAAATTGGTACATTGTTGTAAATTATGGTACGCTGACTGGCAGAAATCTCGTCCTGTCGCCAACCTGTGGCTCGAATCTCAGATTCACTTTTTCACTGTTGTCGTCGCCGACCTCGAGGAAAGTATTCCAGTCGACGAGAAAATACAGACCGTTTCTTCGTTTAGTTGGCAGAACGGGGTCCGGTGCACGAGTGGCACCACCGAAGGATTCTTCCAGTCCCATGAGATTTATGCTCGCAGATGTCGATGACTCCGGAGCTGGTGTCAACGCATCCCGGAAGTTTGAACCGTCCTTCGTGGAATCTGAAGTCACCGGGGCCGCGGTCGTGGTTGTTGTCGTCGTCGTTGTCGTCGTCGTTGTCGTCGCCGTCGCCCCCGTCGTCGCCGTCGTCGTCGCCGCCGTTGTTGTTGAGGAAACTGCAGATTCTGCCGACGAGATCTTTGGTGAATTGGCGTTCGATTTCATTTTCATTCATCTCTTTTTCCACGGCATTCGCGAGCAACTTTCTCATGCTCTCTGATAACGAACGCGACGGTTGCACAGTGATAAAAAAAAAGTGCTATTAAACATTGCGATCAATTTTGCGACTATTGATGCAAACTAGAGGTATTAATTAATTGGAGAAGAAAAATAAAAAACAGACAAAGAGTGAAACGAAAGATAGAGGTGATAGAAAACATAGATGCCATTGAAAGTACCGACTTTTATCATTGAATAATGAATGTAGACGTAAAAATGATAGGAATACTTTAGTTTTAAGAAAAATTGGGAATTGAGGAGGAAGATATTGTATTTAAAGGAATGTCTGCAAAATAGAGAAAGGTAGCAGTTGAGTCGAGAAGAGTAAGAATAAATATTCCAAATTCATTTCAAGACGATGCTAGCACCTGTGAGATCACTCCCCTCCCCCAACTTACATCTCCGCTGCGTTTTCTCTGTATAATTTATTCCCTGTATAACGTAGCATATCTGTTATATTATAGGAGAAGAAACTGTCTCCAAAGAGTAAAGTACATAATAAATTTGCTTATCCGTCACGTGATTGGTAGCGATGATGATGACATCGAGCTACGAACCGGTTCGCGTGCAAGCACATGCATCGGACATTCACATGCAACGTCACATGCAACGCGCGCTGCTTCGAGGACAAGTGCGCAAGATGAAAGTTGCACATCTAGTTGACAGTAACATAAGAGAGGAAAAGTCTGCGTGCAAAAATCCTCTTTGAGGTGCATCAGCCTAGACAAATTGTATGCCAAAAACGTATCAGAATTTATCGTATGTTGCGTCAGTCTGCCGGTCTTACCTTTAAACTTGTGTAAAAGCTGAGATTTTGCAATTTTATTTCGTTCAAATTACAAAAACGATGTTTATTATTTTACCCGATGAAAAAATAATATATTAGAAATTCATTAACAGTTCGCTGTAAGATGTAAAAGTATTGTGTAATTAATATTTTAAGTGTTCAAGTTTCTAGAGTATCTCGAGTATTCTAGATTTGTTGTTAATATATGGATTCTTTGTTTAATTTGTAATACAAAGAACGATATGCGCCCTGCACAGTTAACTGCCGTATGACTGATATCAATTTTGTAATAAAAAAATGTTCCCTGCGCTCTCGCGCGTTCTCGATCTCATAGAATAGTAATATATCAAATGACTAGCTAATATATGCTATTCTGATGACTGTTGGCCGTAATCTAGATCTGCGCGGATTCGCAGACACCCACGGGATACGAAGCGTAAAGTCGAGCAGAAGCGAGAGAGAGAGGACACAGCCAAAGAAACTTATGCCGAGGTAACGTAACAATATGAGAGTATTTAGTAATGGCATCTTCCAGAATTAATGAACATAATCAGGAGGACGTGTAATCTTATCTCCCGTGTTGGTTAACATGCGTCTGATCCTCGCCAGACCCTGAATGATTCGTCCAACCCAGAATTCCGAAGTGCCCAAAACGGATATCATAAATTTCTTTATACCGGTTGGGGCGGCTGGGGGGGCCGACGTGGTATTCGCGAGAGCTCGATCGTCACTGGCAGTGATTTCGACGGTTTCTGCCGGAGGAAGACTCTGTTGTCTTTTTACTTCATTTTTCACGTCTTCGTTGTAAAGTCTAATTATCTCTTCGAGACTTAGCGGATCCGGCCCGTCCTTTAGAGTTTTCGTCGTGGCGAGCAGATCGTCGGCTACCTTTCGCACGTCCGTTGGGCTCGCCTTTCCCTCTTGCACTAATCTGATTTTGTCCAAAAGTTGGTTGATTTTCATTCTCTGCCCCTCGTCCTTGACACGTGCCTCGTGAGGCTTGAACACGTGGATCTTGGTCGTCCTCGTTGGCTCTACGCTCTCCGTCTTTGGCGTCGTTTTCGGTGCCTTGCGCGATATGAGGCCTATATTCTCCAGGATTTGCCTCATGTTATCTGGAACAGCCTCGATCAACGACGGCCGCTCCGTTGACGGCGACATGGCCTTTTTCTGTCTGCTGTCGCTGACGCCAAGCCCGAATCTCGCTAAAAATTCTTTCATATCTTCGTTCTTTATCTTAGACGTTGGCAACGGCTTGAAATTGGTATAAGAGTTTGTATTGGCGGTCGACTTGTGCGTGGGCATTGTGGTCGTTGCTAGATTGGACGTTTGCAAACCGAATCGTTGAAAAATCAGCTGTACGTCAGGTGTTAGATTGTTCATGCCTTTGCCAATCTCCGAGACTGGGCTCTCGAAAGTGTTTTGAGCGGTTATCGATGGCGAATCAGGCACAGCGGCCGACAAGCTGGACGTTGTATAGACTAAGCCGTTACCGTTAGGAATTTGGGACTTCATCTCCAGTTCTTTTTCCTTCTTTTTAAACACGTCTTCCACGTTCGTGGCATTTTCCGGTCGAAGTCCAATCGAGGCAAGCAGCTCCATCACTTCCGGGCGCATTGTCGTCGTTGTCGTAGTGATTCTGCGAAAACCTCCAGAGTTTAGATTATAAGTGGAATTGTATTTTAATCTCTCGGAGAAAGAAGAAGGAGTAGAAGAAGACGGAGAAGAGGAAGGCATTGGCGTTACGTAGATAGGAAACGATTGTTCGGCATTAACGATTGGCATTTCTTCCGATGTTGCGTTCACCTTTGAAACCGTGGGAATGCGATTAATTTTGCTAATCGGCACAGTCGGAGCCACATTTTCTAGTGCTACAGTAGTCGAGGCAGCCGGTTGTTGGTCGCGAATTCTTTTCAAGAGCATATCTTGAAGTTTCGCTAACGTTGTGGTACTTTGCGTCGTTGGCGCGTTATACCGCCATTTGTCAACGGATAAAACATTTTCGTTATATTTTAGAGGACGAGACGTAGCCTCTGGGCCCAAGTTACGCACAGTGTGCGAAACATCCTTTTTCGTCTCTACCGTTTCAGGGGGGACCGTTGTCGCGCTCGTACTGTATACTATATAGACTCCTTTGTCTTTGGTTAGTGACGAACCTTCGAACACTGGTCGCCTAGTGGTAGTTGCCGGTTCCTCGGCGAAGGGTTGGTTGTGCAGACTTTCCAAGTTGAAGCTGAATTTCATCGGCGCTGAATCGAACTTCAACGCCTCCTTTTCAGACACGTTTGAATACGAATCTTTGTGATTTTTATGTTGCGTTTGCACAGATGGGCTTCCTTTCGCTAAGTTTTTCTCCGGAGCGTACGCCACTATAAAATTTTCAAGTGATTGCTTGTCATGTTGCGTCTCTTGCGCAATTGCGTTTGCTTGTAACTTCTTGCTCTTCGTCGTTTCGTAGTTTCCCAGATTGGACGAAGGGTCCGCGATTAATTCAACTATCGGCGGTTTGGTATATAAATCCTTGACGTTCTCCTCCGCGTCGTCTGCGTTGTACGGCAAAACTACCATCAGTGCTTTTTGGTAGATATTTCGCGTTTCCTCGATTGTCTTTTTGTTCTGATATGTCTCGAGATCTTTGGACGTGATGTTGAAGAGAATATCAACAATCTCACGTCTACTGAGCTGTGGCAAAGTAGCATTTTGTTGAATTAATCTCTCGACTTCGTCGATTGTCCGGTTGATCGAGCTCTCGACTTCAGTTCTTGACGGAAAATCATTGCAATGACACAAGCCGATGACGATCAGCATACACATTAGCACAATCTATGAAAACAATAATTATATGAATTAGACAAAAAATATCATTGAGAGAGAGAGAGAGAGAGAGAGAGAGAGAGAGTGTGTGTGTGTGTGTGTGTGTGTGTGTGTGTGTGTGTGTGTGTGTGTGTGTGTGTGTGTGTGTGTCTTTTTGTGTGCGATACTAAAATACATTTTAGATTGTAAAGCAGTCTTTTGTTTGCCAGAAATTAATTAAACACTTTGAACTATAATACATACTATAATAAGAAATTTGTTAATCTATTTTTATTAATTTAAATATATATATATATTTATTATATATTTTTTTTCCTTTTAAAAACTTAATAGATGACATTGAATACACTACGCATTAAATATGTTTAAAAAATAGGTATAAGTGTTCCAAAAATATCTTATTGCAAACGTTTGTAATATCCTCACAGATTTAGGTTACAATGTGCGCGATATATGCGAAGAAATTGTTTTAGAGATGTTATTAATTTATAAGAGTGAGATATGTATTTCATTAATATAAAGCGATGCTTACTCAATTATGTTAAAGAAGTATGTAAGTCCAAGATGTATGTCAACGTTGTTTTCCATATTTATGAGCAAATGTCGCAAAAGAAGCCTTGACTAGAGGATTACTGATGTCAAAGAGATACACTTTGTCAATTCTGTAGCTTTCGTAATATCTATATGCATTATACTCGCGATCCATTTCATTCCTTCAGATATACGAAGTAATGAAATTCATGCCTGATGTAAGAACAGACATCTTTTCTCGATAAAGCTGTTTTTAGATTTGTTCGGAAATATTATATTTATAAATGTAGTGATCTTCTCTGCAAAAATATACAGACTCCACTAGCAATGGTAAGAGGGCATCTTAATTCATTATAAATCGCATTTTTTTTCTAAAGTCTACTCCAGGCAATCTGTAATTTGTATCAGGGAGTAGAATAAAATATTATTTACAATTTTATCATATTATATCATACATAAAGGTATAAAGAGTTGGAACACACGACGAAAAAGAAATGTTTGGTGGTTATGTGTATATGCTCGATACACAGTCGAAAAACAAATGAGATAAGTCTTAGGATAAAAGTTTTTGAACTAATAGCGAAAATTTGGCAGCTAAATCGTTCCATTTTATATTTTGCTACTTACAAATTATATGTAACAAGCAATTGGCAACTTTTGCTATTTTTTTAATATAAAGGGGAAAATGTGACTGCAAAACGGTGAAATTTTTTGTGAAGAAAAATAAAATTTTGGCAAATCTCTATATGAGTTGCGCTTGAGAAATACAGTAATGATTGTATAGAGGCGAAAAATATGCTTAACGAGCGTATAGCAAAAACGTAGCCGGAAAGAGTCAACTTTCACAATCTGATGTCACGCAGTGTTAAAGAATGTGTATTGGTCTTTAAAAGATCTGTAAAAGATTATAATATTTGTGTAAACTTAATAGGCTTAGAAACAGACGTTAATATGTGTAATATAATCGAACGATATGGTTAATAAATATGTATGTAGATTTTATGTATTTTTATTATGATCAATATAAGATGTAAAAAATCAATTAAAAAATTTAATTTTATCAACTATACAGCGTTCATGGTGAATGTTTCGATTGTACTAACTGCCTGTTCCAACATTATTAAAAGATAATGTAAATTAAGAGGCAAATAAATTAAAACATAGCAAGCAATAAGCACTAAGTAATTAAGAACGACGTTTTCTTTTGTTATTTCACGTTAACGTGCTTAACAAACTGACAAGTCGCAACTTGACGTTTATTTCAGTGCGTGAAAAAATTGCGTTTTAACTCGAAATAATTCAACAGCACAAGCTACTTCGAACACTTTGGACACTTTTTCGCATAACGTGGTGATGCACGTGGCGTGGCACAATAATTCGAATAGCACATACGACAGCATGTAACATACGTGCTTGCGTACAGAAATTAATAATACTTAGCACCTTTTCAATGACAGAAAATGCGCCATTTGGTTACAATATTCAAAAACTCACCATTATGCCAACCAATCGTCCGGACACGTAGTCGACAACTGACTGAGCGGCTAAGGCCTACTTTCAAACTCTCTCTCTATCTTACTCACTTGATTCTCCTTAGCTGCTCTGACGCACAAACACGCGTCCATCTGTTCACTTCGCCAGCCAAGTTGAGTATTAAGGTCCACTGAACTTGAAAAGAGCAGCGAGTAAGTAGTTGGACATGTTAGAATCGATATCGATATATTTTCATCCAAGCCAACGTTTGTTGCTGTAAAATATCTACAATATAAAATACCCACATCGCTATTAAATGTATGCGCATAAAGATTATTTTAGTATAAACATTTCTTGATACTAACGAGACTTATCGAAATACCCTAAAAATATCAAAAACAAAATATTAATATGCAAAACTTACACGCGTGTCTGCTTCTCATTGATAGACATTGTTATTAGATACAAGGTTTTACGATTAATTAAAAAATATAAAAAATCGTTTAAATTATAATGTTATTGTAACAAAGAAAGTATGATAAAAGAGAAGACGATACACCTATACATGGATTTCTTCTTCATGATATAAGAGAGAAGAAAGTTTTTTCTTGAACGACAGGAAAATCGGATTATTTGTGTCTGTAATAAAGTGTATAATATATACTTATGTTATATGCATACATGTATGTATATGTATGTGTATTAATACATATATGGAAAATGTATAAATGTGTTGATATGTGCGCAAATTCATGTGGGAAGGCATCATCAGTGATTCTTACACGCTCGTCGCTCGCTCCTCGCCGCTCGCATACCAGATCATAGGCGATATAAACAAGTGAACCAGTTTGAATGCTTGCCGAGTCTTCAGCCCGTTGCTTCCGAGGCCTTTATTTGTTTAAACGTTTATGCTTATTACTCGATATCTTATTGCAACATTGCAAATTTTGCAAAACGGTACATGACTCTTCTTTTCAGTTTAACCCAAACTTATCTATCTTTCGATTATTCGCTTTTACATCCCGCATATCTTGGTCCATTTACAGTTAACACATGTGTATAAGTCGCTCTAATTTTTTTATTTACACTTGCACGTTCGTATGCATATTAAATTTGATTGTACCGACTGTTGGTATTCAAGTTACTACAGCTCGGTACATTATAAAAGCTGCGCTGCAATGTATCGATGTATGGTATTGTAGAACGATATACTGCCCTGCCGTGTTGATTTTACCAAGTTATTTTTATCAATGCAGTAATTAAATATTATTAAAACAATTTTAACAATTTTGTAGTCAAGGACGAAAAGTTTTATACATTTAAAATGTTGTTTCAATACTTTGATGTCGATCGGTTCTTTCTCAAAAGTTTTTCCATATTAATTATAGTATTAATTTATAAACAATTATAAATTGATGACAAATATATAAATATGAATAAAAATACAGAGATTTTAAAACTAAAATTGGAATTCAACTAAGAATTGATCAAAAATACCGTATTAATTTTATTGTGTGGTAATTCTTGGGCTATATTTTTCTTCTAATGCAATTGTAACTAGAGCGTGAGCAAACTCTGGCAACAAAATCAAGTACGATATACATGCTGAGAAAATGTTGTCGACTCATTGATGTTTCTAGTGAAGTTCATTTCGCAATAATAATATATGTATGTATAATTGCACGTCTTTTGTCTTCAATTTCGCTAAAGAAATTTTACAACTGACTTCAACGAGATTAGGAATAAAAAATCCAAATAATTTGCTCTTTCTGGAATGCAATAAAATTTGCAGTTCGACCAGTTCAGTTATTGCTTTGCTTAATGATCTCTGATTGTATATGTAAAATAAACATGATACATTTTCTTATAATTAAGGCGTATTCAGTTATATTTTATTTTTACGTCTATTTGAGTTTTAAGAATCGATATTAACAAATTAACAAGAATTTTATATTTTAATAAAGGTACTCGCGTATTATTTATTTTCATTTTCGCTACTTTTGTACTTCTGTTACTTTTCCAATTAATTATGTAAAATTATTTTTAACATCGTACATTTTTTATGTGACAACGATATTTAGTCAGTATTTTAACTTGGAGACTTAAGCTATTGCGTTAAAAATAGTACTCTTTTTATTCATTATTTTTATATACTTCTTTGTCATTTAGATAAATTATCAATAATTATCTTGTTTTCAAATGTAACGCGCGCGTGTGCGTGTGCGTGTGCGTGTGTGTTTGTGTTTGTATGGATTGTTAGTCGTACAATTATTTTAACTATTTCACAAAATTCCCATGCAAATACGTGTACCTACGTAAATATTTACAACAGATTGTTAGTTGCTAACAGGTCATTTAAAAGATTACTTGCCAAGGGATTATTAATTGAAATATTTTTTAAATAAACCAGCGCATTGTATGCAATGGTTGTTATACAAAAGTTGGCGGATTTGCACCACGCTGACGTCCTTCCTACCACTGCTTTAGCTATATGTGGTGTGTTCAGCAGCGTGTGTGTTAGAGTTGCTGCAATGCGCAACGGTCTCGCCAGATCACAGCGCTTCTACAATCATATATTTAGAAAAGCATTGTTGTAAATATTTTCTGCAGCGTATTGTTGTTCCAGTTACGCGATGACAATATTATCAGAAAATTGATCGATTATCTATTTCCTTGTTTATATGACAAACATGATAGAGTGCAACATTTACATTTGTACACACAATTATTTAATCCCGAGCTCGATAAAATGAAGAAACTTATCGTAAATTTACCGCAATGGATAGGAACGTCGTGAAGGAACTGTAATAATATTTCTACTTACAAATATAAAGGAAAATATATTCTTGCGATAATAAACTGGAATGCAATTATAATATCAAAGGCATAAATATATTTAATAGTATTAAATTTAAAAAACTGATTTACTCAGAACGCGTCTTCTAATTTTGAAGAAAGAAAATTGTAATAACTTTGTTAAAAATCAAGTAATATAAGTACTTAAAATTCATTATTAAAAATCTCTAACAGTAACTAAATCTAAAATCAGTAACAATTGATTTCTTATTCTCATTGATAAAACCCTAAACGCTATTACATGCTCTATAAAGCAGAAAAAATATAAATAATATTTAAATGCCAATGTATTTTATGTTTTGTAGAAAGTTAAATTTTGTTTTATTTAAAAGTTCTTCTCATGAAAATATAAATTTTGTAATTTTCTTGTGTTTTTATGTAATTTTAATTAATGCCGCTAATAGTAATAGTTCATTAATTTTAAAGAGCAAAACGTTTGTCATGTTGTTCTCTGTAGTTTTTAGAAATCGTTTGAGTTGGAGAAACAAATCAAAGTAGGATTTTTAAAAAACCATTATAATTTCAAGTGATTTTAATTGATTAAGTCATAAGAAACAGAAGAACTGGACATTTTAGAACTGGACATACTCGTATATTCTAAATATATTGCTATACAGTGGTAATTTATATACACTTATATCCGTATGTACAAGACATTCAGTTGAATCTCAAATTAATTCGCACTTATTACAATGTACCGTAATTATTACTATTCAATATTTACCATGTGCACATGGCGGATACCATTATGCGAGCAAAGTCTGTTATCAATACCGTTGATTGTCTGCTGTTTATGCTGTTTATGTTCCTTACATCTTCTTTCGAATGCGTATCACGCAAGATATCTCCAAAAATTCTCGTTTCTCCAATAAAATTGGATTAATTGTAAATCAGTTTTTAAAAAATTTATTTAAGACAGGAATATTTATTAAGCATTCTTCTCTCATAATATGTTAATGTTCAATATGTATATTATATTAAATATTTTGGTTGAAAATTTCGTTTTCATAAAACTTGCTCAAGTTTTATTGCAGAATGCGATAACTTACTATTATGTATTTATTGTGTGATTAACAACTTGAATATATAATTTATTGAAAACCCTTATTATTTACGTGATATTTTTGTTAAAAATGAGTCAAAGAATTTGGAGATGTCTTGCATAGAAACGCAATACTCTTAGTCGCCAGGAGGAAACTGAGAGAAGTCTTTCGCATTTCGACTAAGATATCTTATAGCTACATTAACGTCGATGGCAGAATCTGCTCAATGTATCGCTCGTTATTCCGTTTCGTAAGTCCTATAATAGCTCGCCATTTAATACTAATACTCTTCTCTCTTTTGTTATAATTGTTATACTGGTATGATAATACATTTTCTCTCTTTTGCGAAAGAATCCGTATTTTTATTGCATTTGTGAGAAGTACTCTTCATCGTGCTTCTAACAAAATAAGAATCACGGCCGTGTGTTCCTTTTTGCTATAAAACAGTTTTTCTCTTCGTTTCCAACGTCAACAGGAATGGAAGGGGGAAAAATGTTGCGAGAATATTTTGTTTGTGCGTGTGAAAGAAAGAAAAAACGAAAGCAAACATTTAATAAACACGAGGTAATAAATATATGACTTATAAATATACAAATATATATACATATAATAGATAAATAGATAAAAGAATGAAGATTGTTAACAAGAAGATATAATATTTTTCAAGATACGCTGTTACGCCGCTGTTACACTCCGCATTATCTTGCCAGCATTGTATATTGCACTTAGCATAGACATACAATCAACATTAAAGGTGCTGCATCTCAAGATTAGAAAAATCGTATACATACATATACATATATATGTATACATAGATATTAACCTGCAACGCGCACGTTATTGATATTTCTAATATTTGTAGGCATTTCATTCTTTTGAATTATAATAGAAAAATGCGTTGTTTATTTCCAATTTACTTTATTCTAGTAACAACAATGTAAAAATTATAACTGTTTTAGTTTACCGGAAATTCTGATTTGATATAAATTTGAAGTTTAGTAATAACAAAATATTGTACTTTTTGCAAGGAAGATGTCTTCGAGGAAACGAACTGAGACTTAATCTAATTAATGAGGGTTTAGTGGTACACCATTTTCATCTTTGATCGATTGAAAATCAGTTTGAACATTTTACTCAAAACTTTTTTCATGAAAATGTTCACTGTAATATTACTCGAAGAAAACGGAAACAGCGATTTACTAGCTTTTCATATAGCGCAAATCTCCAGGAGATGTTTTTAGAACGTTCTTAAGACATAATTCTAAGAATGTCCTGAAGACATCCCTTGGAAGTTCGCGCTATATAGGTTACTAGAAAATTATCTGTCATGCAGTTTTCTCAGAGAGTAAATATCTATTAAAAACAAATTAACTTTATATTGATCAGAGAGGTAGAAAGCTGAGATGAAAAATTTTAAAGGCGCTCTTTATAATCGTCGAGGTAAAAAAAGAAAAGGGGCAAATTAGGTTATTTATTCTCTCTTCAGCGATACCGATGGAGGAAAATTAAAAATAAAAGAGAAATTATTAGTTAAGGACACGCTCTGCATATGTATGCTGTAACTTGGCTTTTTATGCTTTCTCCACTTCCACCATTTATTCTCTTTTGTTTCTACAAACTTCTCAAGTTATCAAACTTACTTGTCTTACTTCTTGCGAGAATCTCATAAAGATGAAAAGGGGACGACTGGTCCAAAAGTTCTTGGGCAAAAAACTTTGTAAAGAGGAACGAACGCTTTTATCTTTGTCATGTAATCTTATTTTCCCCACATCGGCACTCTAAGTCTTTTCGTTTCATCAACGACGATTGTTATATTAGATAACCAATTTAGAAATTTTACCTTTAACGTTACTGTGCGTACCTTGTATGCGTGCTTGTATTTTTAAATAAAAATATTGCGTTTTTATTCGTTTTCTAAAATCACATTTCACTTTATCGTGGAAAAATTAATTTATCACTTTTCTTTGAAATACGCAATATACCTTTTTTTTATTGCATACAACATATGCTATGTTAGTAAAACTTTTCCTTCGTGTAGGCATTTCAATAAGAATAGCTTCAATATAGACGTACATAACTCTTATTTATTTATACGTATATATGTTCGCAATTTAAAAAGAGAAATGAAAAGAGAAACAAAATATTTATTAACTTAAGAACTTAAAACTCAAGTTCCTTCAATTTTTTCTATAAATCCGTTTCTCTTTCAATCAAGGATTATGAATATTTAAATTTCTCTCATTTAGCAATTTTATATCTAGGTTTCATGTATCAAACTTTGGGTTTTTATTAAGTAAAAACAAATAGGCTTTGAAACAACACAGTTGTTTTCTTGTAAAATGTTAATATTACATATCAGCGTCGTATTACTGTATATCGATATTTAATCTACGAGATTCATTGTATATTTTTAGCGCATAATTCACCAAAGAGAGATTACAAAAGAAGTTAACAGTACATAAATATAAACTAAAAAGTTAATTACAATTATATTATTATTTTTGTTTCTATATTTACAAAGAAAGTCGGAGATCTGTCCATAACCCACCGCTAGCCTATATGACATGAAAAAAATTAAAGGTAAAGGAACATATATTCTCAAACGGGCGTCAGAGTTATTAATACTGATATAAATACTAGCAACAAAAATGTTGTTTAACAAAAATTACGCGTGCATATGTATGCGTATGCGTGCTGCGTGCGCGAGAGCAAAAAATGGTCTTATTAATATATTGATAAAAAGAAGATTATACACACGTTTATACGCACCTAAGTGAGATTAATAATTTGAATGATTTTAACATACGTGAGATTTATAATTTAAGAAAAACAAAGAGAGACGAAAAAGCGGAATAAATTTAATTACAATGCAAAAAGAGATCGCCAGTTACAAAGCATTAAAAGTAAAAAGCATTAAAGCATAAATCTGATTAAATTGAAGCTTGATTATACGTCACGCTTGTGTCAGGTGTACTTCTCCTTTGAACATAATTACGTTGCTATAGTGAACCTTTGAAATAGCGGATTTACAAGATAAAATTCATCGAGATGTATCTATTATACAGCTTAGATTCGCCTTTTCATTACAATATTTCGTTCCATGTATATTGTACAATTGCATTGTCATAATACGCTTTCGTTTTACGTGTGCGTTTACATTTTGTCTTTGATGCAAGTCTTGTTAAATTAATGCTGAAAATTTTCACTTTATTCGCTCATCGAGTGTTCCAAAGAAAGAACTGAACAACTGATATTTTCTGTAAAAATATGTATTTATACAAAGTAACTTCACTTTGTTAAAATTTTGGTAAAATTTAATTGTACAATACATTGCATAAATTTTATTATTTTTATTTAGAAAATTAGTAATGTAGTTTTATTTCAAATTATTTATTTAAACAAGACACCTATACATCTCTCTACGTACGAATTTTAATAATATTTTAAAAGTTTTTATTTATAAATGACATTTCGAACTACTTGATAGATACTCGACTTTTCGTTGCAAAATAAATGCTTCAATCAGAATTTATATTAAAGAACATTCTGCTTTTGATACAAGAATAATTAGTCTTGCAACAATAACGAAAAAAAATAGAAAATAATAAAGTAGTTCTTTAACGTCCATCTTTGTGACTTAAATGAAAACGTTAGATGTATTCTA